TAAGCTCATACAGCTATCCTATTGATTGAAATGTTATCTTAAGACGATCTTAAATATAAGAATTCACTACGGGTGCATTGAGTTTCACGCATGATGTGCATGAATGGCAAGCGCATGGCATGGAATGCAGAATCCATTCCGTTTCTCTCCGGTTCTCAACACATTTCATGCATTAATCATACGCATCTAATAACGGAATAGATTCTATGCAGTTCATGCAATATTGGAAACATGGATCAATATGGACGACATTGAATACTTTAACGACCTTTGTGCTCTAGGCACACGAATTCGCCGATTTAATTCTTTTACAATTTTGCCCTCTGAATTACTTGTATCCATGATGTAAAGAAACAAGGGCCCACATTCATAGAGGATGTTTCCGTTTCATGTATGAGGCACATGAAGGCATAGAAATTCGTTTCCGTTTTTCTTCATACGCACTCCTTGCATGCATAAGTCAGCTTGCCGCCAATTGCATGATTCCGTCTCCTCTTCCGATGCATGAGATCGCATAAAGTGCCTCACCTCGCGAGCTGAGGCACTTCATGCAGGCTCATGCATAGAGCAAAATTGGAAGGATAACAAAAGTTCTGAATTTTGAAAATAAAAGATAAAATAAATACTCCAATTCTTTTTGGGAAAAAAACAAAAATTATATACAATACAAACATCATCTGAAGAATATTATAAATGCTATAATATCAAAATACTATATAAAATTGACATTTTTTCATGTGCTTCATGCATGAAACGGAAACACCCCCTATATGACTATCGGCCTTTGTTTCTTTACATCATGGATACAAGTAATTCAGAGGGCAAAATTGTAAAAGAATTAAATCGGCGAATTCGTGTGCCTAGAGCATAAAGGTCGATTATGTAACTTTTCCCTTAAGGCGGAAACATGAAAAGTGAAAAGTTTCACGTGAACTTACGATCATATACGATTTCGCGGGGTCATATAACTCTCTTAAACTGTGAAACTTTTTACGTAAACTTTTTCACCATGTACCTTCGTGACGGAAAGGTAGAAATCTAGGGAATTAATAAATATGCTTCGAAATTAGAGAAGATTAAGGCTGCGTTAGGATTAAATGTACATAATACATATACGATTGATTAGTAAAAGATATATATAATACTATATAATACTGTATCAATAAAATAATTTTCCTTAGCTATAAAACTTATGAAATTATGTTTCATGATTTCACTTTCCATGCATCCAAGCTACATACATAATCGCTATATGTGAAAAGTTTCACGTGAAATGTCAATGCGTGAAAAATAAAAGTAAAAATTTCACGTGAAGTTATATGATTGACCCCCAGATGTCTATACTAAACTAGATTTGTGGGAATTTGTTTGCCATCTGTAGGATCCCACGTTCCTAGTATTCAAAATAACGATCTCGAAATGTACAAACTACACAACAACTTTATTTTTCTTACAATCTCACAATATATACTCAAACGAAAGCTGAAGTGAATTGCGGGGAAAAATATAATTTATTTAAATCTGAACTTGGGTAATATATATCCTAGGTTCGAAACTTTGCCTAAAGGTGTGTCCGCACGCGCGACTATATGTGGTGCTGCCACATAACTCTCCTCCTAATGAAAGAGATCTTTTGAAATCACTTGAATAATTACATACTAATTAAGTACTGTTTATAATAAAAATAATACATAAAGTTTTAACTTATATTAAAGCTTATGATAATAATGATAATAAATACGTTTATAATAAAATTATTATAGAATAATTAGAATAATTAAAGTTTTAACAATGAATTCCGCATGAGGTATTATTGTTGACACATTTTCTTTTTAGTGGTTTCCCTAGTACGCTTATTCTATTAAAAAATAAGAAATCAAATATATGGTTTGGCAGGAAAATAAAATTCTATATTGTAAAATATGATATATAAAGAATAAGAAAAACGAAAGAGCAATTCGTATAAAAATACTAATTTGATTTGATTGTGTAAACAATCCAAAAAATCAAATTAATATTTCTACTAGAGATGATATATCCACAGAAATTTTAAAAGAATTAGCTCGCATCAACGAGGATAGTGATGTACAAGAAAAGAAAAACGTTCTTTGAACGCTTACTATCTCTGCTGATGCAAACCAGTTTTTCTAAAATTTCTATTGATATATCATCTCTACTAAAATCATGCATACAAGTAGAAAATAAAATTAATTTTCCATGACATCTAAACAAACAAAAGTTATATCGGTCATGCTTTTATTTTTC